TTCTCCACAGAGGCAGACAGCCTGTCTACAAATCGTAGGAAAGACTCATCAGCTCTCTGGGCAACAGTCACAAATTACTCCTTTGGAGCAGCCACTTCTATGGTCTGAATCAACCCTGCCACGCCTGTTGTCTGGCACTGATCCAGCACCAAGGGAGCAAAGCCAGCCTGCTCATGAGGATCAGCATAATTGCCTGTGCCTAGCAGCACATCAGTACCAATCACGTCTGGGATTCTATTGGCCCAAAGTAACATTTCTCTCCACTGCTCTAGCTGCCAGCTGAGTCCATTTAGACTCAAAGGTCATATTCTACAGGCTGAAAAAGAACACGAGCTAAGCTTTGAATATTGTAAGGTGTCAGCAAATCAGCAGCAAACACTCGAAGCATCTGCATGACTTCCACAGAGAGCCCGAACCGTATTTTCCAGCCTTATCGTGGAGTTCCATCAAAGCTTTCAATGGTAACGGCTCATGGGCATTGTTAGCAATACCTCTGAACACAGGGAAACTCTGGAGACCCCCTGGTAAGGCGGCAGCACCTGCTAAGTCCCATCCTGTGAACTCCACAGGGACAGAAGCAGATGCCTCAACAGCACCCGATATCTCGTCCCTTGCAGCATCAGCAGGGCCAGAGCAGTCACCTGCGTACCATGCGAGGCAACACAGAGAAGCATAACCAAGCACATTCTTGACCTTAGCTTTGACCTCTCGACAAGCTTGTGCTTCCTCAGACCTACAGTCACCTGACACGACGGAAATGTCTACAAGGCCGAAGAAGAAAACCCACGGCCCCGGGAAAACATGGGTCCCCTGCCGGTCACGTCACCTTTCGCGGCAAACACCGCAGTGCCCGCACTCGCTGCAGCCCCGGTACCCGCAGGAGGAACAGGCGGCGGCGACACGCCAGCTCCCGCCGGAGCCCCCCCGGGCCAGCTTCCCCTGGCACGGGGGAAGAGCAGTGCGCAGAGATGCAGCTCCCGGAGCCGCGCCATCGCTCCGTGCCCCGGCCACGGGACCCGTCACAGGCGGCGCGGGGATGGGGCCGTCAGGCACCGCACACCAGAGTCTCTCCCGTGACGCAGAATCCGACCGCGGACACCACCTCATGGGGCTGGAGCGGGCCGGCACCTGCCCGCCAGAGTGGGGTCCGACAGAAAGCTGACCACGTCCCACCTCCGCCGGCTTCCTCCGCCTGTGCATGCCCGGCAGGCTGTGCAGCGCAGACTCGATCAATGACGCCCACGCCGACTCCAAACGGGAGAGTGGTGGGAGCGGCAGCTGACCCCACTCCCGCTGCCCCCAAGGGATACGTTGTGGAAACCCCACAGTTTGGACAAAGCAGAGGCGGACGCTGGGCCGGGGGCTCCTCGCAGCCCCCGAGCGCCAGAAAGGCACAGCGAGGAGGAGTTCGCACCCCGCTTCGCCGCCCTCGGGTGCGGAAAGGGACGAGGCTGACTCCGATCCGCGCAAAGACTCAACATTCACCTCTGCCTTCGAAAAGACTTCAGCGTCACCCTGTTCAGAGGTTGGGAGGCTGAAATCCTACCCTAGCCTATCAATCTGTCTCCAATTCAAGAGCATTGCCACCACACCTGCACTATAATCAACAGAGAAAGAGACCCCACGCCTCCCTGGAGAACGCCTCCTCAGGGGCTGAAAAGAGCCCATGATCTTTGCCCCAGTAAAACAGATGCCTAAAGCCATCCCAAAGAAAAGAAGCCCTCTTTTGCTCCAGAAGAGCCTCCCAGACATTCAAGACCAGTAAGTCCTCTATAGAAATCACAGGGGCTGGCGTGACCACAAGCCTGCAGACAAACAGAAAGGTAAAAAGAGAATCGGGAATTAACAAGAGCTCACCCACGGCTGTCGTACCAGACGGCGGCCACCAGATGTCACACTACGACACAAAATAACTCACAGACACATGTTATGTAAAACAGGGAAGAAAACGAACCAAAAGGGAGGATTTTATTTTCTGACTCCACTATATATAGAATAGCAAAAGTGACAGTGGATTGGAGGGTGAAATTGCCACCTGTCCACACTGGTCAAACCAACAGTCCATCAATTCTCTCCACCCACAGAGAAGAATGCAAAACAATAATTATTTACATGACAATGTAAGAAAATTCAGTAGAAATATGTAAACATCAGAAGGCATAGAAAACTTTCAGAAGAACTTTAAAATTCTCAAAATAACAAGGTGACAATTGCAGAAACAAAATGCTCAAGATGTTAAGGGCAAAAATAACAGTTGTGTGTATCCCAGGCTCTCTTCTGACTCAGATGCAAAACCAAGAAATGCATAAATATCTATCTTTGATTCTCTCTAATGAATTTCACCATTCTATCAACTTGTTACCAAATGCACAAACTTATGATCCTCAAGTGTTACATCTTTTGAGATCTCTCATGCATTACCTAGAACTTTTACTTATTGATTTTGAAAGTCACATGCCTGTTGTTTGAAGTGACAAATAATAACTTTTCAATTGTGAAATCCTTTTTTTTTTTTTTTTTTTTTTTTTTTTTGGTATTTTTTTTTTTTTTTTTTTTTTTACCATTTCAGGAGTATCTTTCATCTCTGTTTCAGAGAAAATTATGATCTGAAATATGTGCAGAAGTCAAATGATGTGCATGTTCCAGATTTACATTTATGAAAGGGAATGTAGTATCTTTGGCCTTGTAAGCATGTGTACATTCTTGCACTGCAATCAGTGAGTCATTTGCCTGAACGAAGCCCTTTGCTTTTATATTCCTACTGCAATAAGCTACACACAAAGTAGCCCATGTAGAGCAGTATGATGGAGTTGTAGCCGAGACGATGTAGTGAAAACTCTTCTGTTTCCCAACATTAATTGTTCCCACAGCATTATCACACTATATTCTTGTAAAAGTATATTTCTATGCATTCAGGTTCTTCTCTTTTGGTTGTATTGACAGAGATATTTGTGCTGTTGGGAATTGACCAGTACTGGCAAATAAAAAAAATTAAATAAAAACATCAGTTACTTTTCATTCATCATATAATTATTTGGGAAGCTGTTAACTATGCAACTGATGGTACTTATGGGTTGGGAGGAAGAGGTGGTTATAGGGGGTGAAGACCAAGGCAAACTGATACCACCATTGTTGCAGAACTCTGGTGGTGAAGCATCCATTGTGCCACCCATGGGACTAGGTAAGCACAGCAGTCTTGGGTCTGTACACAGTGGTGGCCTGGGGCTGGAATTTGAGCACAGCTACTATAGGTAAGAGAGGAATCATCAAAAAAGACTTCATGAGACATTCATAAAAAGGAGAATAGTGATTTATTTTTAAATTATTGCTGACCCATTTCTGAATCTTCAAAATCCTGAGCTGGTATGCTAAACTTGAGCCGTTCTTCCTCTGTTAATCTGTAGAGACTGAACTGAAAGGAAAATAAATTTGTATTCTATGCTAGATCAGAACATTCTGATATTTTAAACTGTTTAGGAGCATCCATATCATTTTCAGAGACATTTCAACTGGAGTCTAAACTACAGTTGTGATACTTATACTAATGATGGTGATGATGATGATAATTATAAGAGTAACGAAAATATGAGAGAGAGAGAGCAATAACATCCAAGAGAAACAAGTGATTGCTCACCTCCTGCTGACTGATGCCTGGTCTGTCACAAGTAGCGATCACTGACTCCAGTTTATATATCGGGCTTGATGATCTGTGATACAAAGTATGCCTTTGGCCAGTTTGGATCAACTGTCCTGGCTATGCTCCCTCCCACTTCTTGTGCACCTGCTCACTGTCAGAGTACGGGAAACTCCAAAGTCTGTGTTTTGGAGTAAATACTATTTATCAACAACAAAATCATCAGTGTGTTCTCAACATTATTCTTATATTAAACCCAAAACACAGCATTGGACCAGCTAAGAAGAAAACTAATTCTAGTCCAGAAAAAAAAAAAAACAGGACAGCAAGTTTGCTTTACAAAACCTCATACAGGAATATTTTGAGTTAATTATAGCAGGGCAATAGTGCAGTTTCTCAAAGGTCTTTATTTCATATATGCATCATATATACTAGGCAATTTTTTTAATGTGGTGATTTTCCATCATATGACTCAACTTTAAACATGCATTTTGGCCAGTTGAATCAAGTTACCTGATTCTGAGGCTTTAAACAGTCTTGTCCCTTCTTTCTAAGAATGTAATAGAAAACTATTTAAGAAGTTTGTGCTTAATTGAAAAAGGAGTACTAATTGCAGGGATGCTGGACTCCAGGACAGTTTGGATGGATGGAGACAAGAGATCTCTGAAGGCTGCTCTCAGAATATAAGGTTTATTATAGAGGGTGAAAGGCCCTGCATGGAGCCACCAGACGCGGCAGGTGGCAGGCCTGAGGAAGTGGGGAAAGGGAGAGGCAAGGGGTAGAGAGAGATAAGAGGATGCTCCAAGAGAGGGTGGAAGTTCCAAGAGAGCGTCTGACTCCTCAGGCACCCCTTATCAGGGGGCTTCAAGGTGGGCTGGAACAAGGCTTGGGCCAATGGGGTCACAGACACCTGATGTTTCAGGGGAGGGTTACAGATGTGGGGTGAACCATACATTTTGGGGGGTGAGATGGAACAGTCCATTTGACTTCTGGACTTATCTGTAGGTAAGGGAATTGTCCAACCAGTAGGGGGGATTGTTTTCATCCTGGCTGTACTACTGTAAATCTTTTGCCAGGCAATCATATTTATTCATCTTCCCCAGGGGAACAACTAATACCAATGTGCTCTTCAGAAAACATCTAATATTTCTCTTACCAAGGATTAGCCACCTGGCTTCATTTGCATCCCTCCCATTTCTGTGTTTGTGCAGAAAATCCTTCATCCTATCCCTGAAAGAGGAATTAAGAGTTACATACAAAAGTATTGCTGTCAATAATTTGCAGATAACAAGAGCCTGGAGTGTGTCTGATGCTGGTTTTTGTGCTTCTCTTTCCTTGCTGCTCTTATTGTGATGCTATCCAAAAGGGAATTTAGAGCTCTAGTCATTGAGATGGTGTTGGCTACTGATATGTCCTGTCACTTCCAGCAAATTAAAGCTATGAAGAATGCTTTGCAGCAACCAGAAGGGTGAGTAATTTCACAACATAGTGCAGTGAGGGGCTGCATTTCAGCTGGTGCTTTGCCAATGTGCTTAACTTCAAAAGCACCTCTCCAGAGGCCCTCTTTTTCTTTGATATCTAGAGCAATTTTCTTTCTGCTGGTGAATTTTGAATTAATTCACTTATGAAGGATTAGGCACATGCCTAAATGCACATCTATATTCTATGCTGGTGGCCCAAAAATTTCAAATGTCACCATTTCTGGGACCACCAGCCTCATTGGGCATTTCCCTGGTGGATAACATCAAGGACATGATTCATTAGAGTAACCTCTATAACTGAGTATGACTTAAGGTTATAAGACCTGCAGAACATAACTTGCACTTTGCCCTTATGCAGATGGTATCAGCTGTCACCCCCAGTAGGGGCCTTCTTCATAATCAGAGAACAGATGAAAACTTGAGATCCACTGAGGGAAGGACTGGAAAATAACAGATGGAGCAGTATGGGGAAAGCCTTTTCTTCTTCCCGGTATGCCACTGGGAGCTGTAGTATTTTGTCCACGGCTCTTCCCCAAAAAATTATTTCTCTATTGTTCTGAGTGATGGTCAGTTTTTCACCCTGGACACAGAATTACACCTATATCAGAATTATACCTATATCAGTATTATACCTGTAGCAGAGCAGGGTGTGGCTAGCCATCTGATCCCATCAGAAGCTACAACTCCTTCAACCATTTTGGATAGTGAAAAAGCAGAATTAAAAAATGAGAACACCCATACCAAGAAAGCATTTATGGGGTTCTTCGGCTAGCCTCTTAGGTCGTAAGAAATCTTAGGTCATACAGCACCAATGAAATGGGGAGCACAGCAGCTCTTCAAGACTTCTAGTGCGGACAAGGAAACCTGGAAAGTTTCTGAGCAAGGCTGAGCAATATTTCTTTTTGCATTTCTTAGTATCCCTTTTAAAACAGGAATCATGTGTGGTGGAGAAATAAGACAGTCTTTCAGAGTTGTATGATTTTATGATCAGAGAAACCACTTTGCATATATCCTGGTCAAAGATTATAATTACCGTATTTTCCTGTAGGTAAGATTTTTGTCATTCTTCCCTGCAAGAGCAGACAATTAATTTTTTTGATCCTTTGGGTTTTCAGAATTGACAAGCCGAAAGCCTTATCACTGTTATTACATACAGCAGATATCAGTCATCCAGCCAAGGCTTGGGATCTCCATCATCGCTGGACCATGTCTCTGCTAGAGGAGTTCTTCAGGCAGGTAAAGCTAGGGATGTTTTTTTCTTTTCTGCAGTTGAGAGAGAGTGTGTAGGGTTGAGTAAGGAAGTAGGAAAATATTAACACAGATATGTTGCTTTTTCTTTGATGCTTTTAAGAACCTCCCAAATGGTATGCAGCTTTCTCCTCTAGCACCATTAGCACTGGCTATTATGCCTCTTAGGCATAGGAAGCTAATGTCTAATACATTCCCTATAGATTTAAACATTACCTACATAGTAGAAAATCTAATTTGTGAAGTTAAAAAGTCTTTCAAATTAGGAAAAGATTTCTACTCGCTCTAGAACCATAACACCATGCTTGTGTAGCTGTACTTTATAAAACTCTACTTACATTGTTGCAATGGATGTGAAAAAGGCTTACTTTGCTCTTTAAAAGAAATGAACTGATCAAAATTATAGTTCATAGTGGATCATCTGTTGACAGACCCACAAATCTAGACAAATCATTGAGCTCTTTGTGATGGTTATAAGGTTCTCAAGTGATTAATAAAAATATTTTTTTTAAATGAAGTAAAAGCAAACAGAGCACTTAAGGAGTGTATAGGATACTTTTCTCCAGTATGAATTGCTAACCTAAGCAGTGCTAGCACTTAAGTGCTTATTTTCCCTGCAAAGTCCAATAACTTCCTGTTCTATAGTAAATCTTAATGCAAAAGGGAAAAATATGACAATTCTTTAAAAGTTCTTACATTTTTAAAAAACTGTATCTGTTTTTAAAGGCATTTCAGTAGTCCCTTTTTTTTTTTTTTTTTACAAGGATATTGCAAAAATTTGCTCTGGAATTAATCCTTTGGTTTGTTTTTTCAAACTAAGAATTGTTTTACTGGGTGAAAGCAGATAGCTCATACCTGCAATTGATTCTGTCTTGCCACACAGGAGACTCATACAAGTAGGATGATTTTAACATGAATTTTAGGGAAAAACCTGTGCATATTTATGCTTTTCTAGCTCAAAGTTATACTAGATGTGTTAAAATACATGACTGCCAAAGACTTATGAGGGAATTACGATTACCTCACATTAAGATGTGAGACCACAAAACTCTTCTGCTGTGGGACACCAGGGTCAAAGAACAACAGGTACCATTCATCGCCACAACAGATCATCATCAACAATACTGCATCAGCCAGGACTCCGTGACCCTCATCCCATGAGATGATTAATGAACTGGAGAGCCAGGGAGTAGTCAGCAAGTTTCACTCACCCTTTAATAACCCCATATGGCCAGTGCATGAGTCCAGTGGAGACTGACAGTGGACTCTTGTATCCTGAACAAAGTCACACCACCACTGAGAGCTGCTGTGATGGACATCATGGAACTTAAGGATGATCTGGAGTCCAAGGCAGCAAAATGGTGCCACCACATACATTGCTAATGTGTTTTTCTCAATTTCTTTGTCAAGAGAATGCAGGCCACGGTTTGCTTTTACCTAGAAGAGTGTCCCCTACACTTGAAAGTGATAGCCCCAGGAGTGGAAGCACAGCCCCACTATTTGCCATGGACTGATTCAGACTAAAATTGAAGAGGGTGGTACTCCAGAACACTTGCAACATGTTGATGACATTATTGTGTGGCACAACACAACAGAGAGAGTTTTTTGGAAAAAAGAATATAATCCACATCCTCCTGAAGGTCAAGGTTATGCTTTTGCCATAAAGCAAAGTCAAGGGACCTGCCCAGGAATATCAGGTTTCATCATATGCCAGTGGCTGTGCTCAAAAACATAGGAACTATGTCCCCACCAACCAGCAAGAAGGAGAGACAAGCTTTCCTCAGTACTGTGAGTTCTGGAAAGATGCATATTCCAAATTACAGTCAGATTGTAAACCTTCTCTACCAAATAACCCAGAAGAAGAAACATTTTAAGTGGGGTCCTGAACAGTAACAAGCTTTGTAACAAATTAAACAGGAGATTCCTTGGGAGCAATAGGTCCAGTTAGTACTGGACAAAATGTGAAAAAACACTGCAGCCAGGGAGCATGATCCTTCCTGGAGTCTCTGGCAAAAGGTACCCTGGGAGACCTGAAGGTAACCCCTGTGGTTCTGGAGTCTGAAATTCAAAGGATATCAGGCCTGTTACACCTCAACTGAACAAGGGGTACTGGCAGTTTATGAAGAAGGAATTCTAGCTGCTTCAGAAGTGACTGTCATTGAAGTACAGCTCTTCCTGGCACCCTGATAGTCTGTTTTGGGCTGGATGTTTAAAAGCAAAGTCCTTTTCACACATTCAGATGCATGCTAAGTGATCTGTGCTGATCACTCAGAAAGCTCAAATAGAAACCCCTAATTGCCCAGGGATATTGGCCGGAAGGCAAAATCACAAATCATGAATTGGCCTCAAGGCAAAAATTTTAGATTATCATCATCATCATTGGAGGAGGAAAAGATGACATGTGCTGCGGAGCTCCCACCATATATAATCAGCTATCAGAAAGTGAAAAGTGATATACACGCTTTACTGATGGTACTGAATATTTTAGCTTCTATTTGACATTGTTCTGAACACTGGCAAGAAGTTCAGCACAATTATAATGACCTGCTAATTTAAGTAAATTATTTTACAGTACATTTAACAGGCTATTTAAATTTGAATGCTCTGTGGGGAGTACTGCAGCTGTGTCATCCTATACAAATCTTCTCAACATAAAGCAATGTTATAGAGTGACTGAATTAAAGGGTTTTTTGTCTCATATGACTTGAAAAACTGGAAAATTGGGAAATATGGGGTTATAAACACTTGATCTTCTACCATCTTGTGATTCTAGAAAAGGACTTCCACTTCTGAGGGCTGGTAGGCATGTTTGGACTTACATAATTAAGATGTAAATGTAATCTAAAGGTAATGTGAAATGTTGTATTCACAGCATCACAGAATACCAGGTTTGAAGGAAGCTGAAGGATCACGTGGTCAAACCTTTCTTGCACAGTCTAGATAAGATGATCCAGCACCCTATCCAGCTGAATGTTAAAAGTGTCCAATGCTGGAGAATCTCCCCTGGGGAGATAATTTTAATGGCTGATCTCATTGTGAAAAATTTTTTTCCTGTGTCTAATCAGAATCTCTTCAGGAGTAATTTCTATCCATTATCCCATATCTTTCCATGTGCCTCATTGTAAAATGGGGGTCTCCATCTTCTTTGTAGACACCCTTTAAATATTGGAACATGGTAATAAGGTCTCTTTTAAGTTTTCTTTTCTCAAGGTTTAACAATGCAGTTGTCTCAGCTCTTTCTTACATGACAGGCTTCCCAGTTGCTTCATCATCCCTGTAGCCCTTCTCTTGACCCTCTCCAGCCTATCCACTTCTTTTTTTGCATGGGGAGACCAATACTGAACACCTTATTCCAGCTGTGGCCTGCCAGCTGCTGAGTAGAGTGGAATAATGATTTCAGTATCTCTACTGGTGTAGAGATACTGTTCATGCAGCCCATCATTCTGTGGCCTGCCAGCTGCTGAGTAGAGTGGAATAATGATTTCAGTATCTCTACTGGTGTAGAGATACTGTTCATGCAGCCCATCATTCTGTTGTTCTCTTCAGCAGAGCACCACAGAATTCACTCATATTAGCTTGTCATCCAACAGGACCCTCAGGTCCTTTTCCACAGAGCTGCTCCCCAGCTGAGTTGTTCCCAGCCTGTGTTGTGGTCCTGTATTATGTTTTCCCAGGTGTATGACCTTACATTTGTCCTTGTTGAACTTCATAAGATTCTTATAAGCCCACTCTTCCAGCCTCTCCAAGTCTACCTGCAGGATGACTCTCCCTTTAGAAGTGTTCAATTTCCAACTTGGTTTGGTATCATCAGCAAACTTCTAGATGATCCCATAATCTAGATCACTTGTAAAGATACTAAACAGCATTGGGTCCAGTATTAAATGCTGGACTATCCCGCTTGTGACAGGTTGCTAGTTTGAAAATAAGCTATTTACCACCACTTGCTGACAGGCTGGGGGCCTGTCAGCCAGTTCCCCACCTGCTGCATGGACCACTCATCTATACTATAATGTATCAGTGTCTTTAGGAGGAAGCTGTTGGAAACCATATAAAAAGTCCTGGAGATATCCAGGTAGACAATATCCACAGCTTGTCCCAACATCAACTGAGCAGGTTACTTTCTCATAGTGTTAGTGTTCTCTTTGGAAAAAATTACTAATCTGCATGCAGCCAGTCTTATCTGAAAGACTAAAAAAGACACACAAAGAACTGCAAGCCCTGAAAAATCAGTCCTGACATTGATGTTTGCTCATGAAAGATTTGCTTTGGAGAACTGCAGTAACAAGCATTCTTGTGCTCAAGTGGTTTTCAGTTGGTACATAGAAGTACCAAGCAAGCAGGGAAAGTTCTAATGAAAAGTCACTGGACTCAAGATGCTTAATTCACTAACTTCTCCTTGGACTATAACTTTTCCATCGAGACTCAAATTCTCCACAATTTATGTTAAAGAAAACCCCAACCTGAACAAAATCCAAACTTAATTAAAGAAAATAAAATGAGAGGCTTTTACAGTTGTGACATAATATATGAAAAGTGCAATGTGTCTTGTCCTTTAAAAATTTCTTCTCCATGTTTTTCTCCAGGGTGACAAAGAAGCAGAACTAGGGCTGCCCTTCTCTCCTCTGTGTGATCGGAAATCTACTATGGTTGCTCAGTCTCAAATAGGTATGTCCCTTTTTAGTGCATGAGGCAACAAGCCTTACATTTACTGAAAGAACAAGAGGTGCTAAGTGAAGTAAAATTATTCAGGGGGCTTGGCACAATGAAGAGAACATGTAAAAGGTGGATTGTGGGTGGATTTTATACTTTCAAAATAAGTGAAGTAGATAGAAGAACATGTTCCAGCCTCAGCTCAAGAATAGGTAGCCAAATGGAATAAAAAAGGAAAGATAACATGGATGCTAAAATTGAGAGAACTGAGAAAAAAAAATATATAAAACATATTAAAGAAAGCAAACAAAAATTTAAAGCAAGAAATTTCTCTCAAAGAGTGAAACAGAGATTTCCCTGAATCTAGGAAACTAGAGATTCATATTTTTGGCTAAGGGCTGTTTCTGTTTAAAATTATTTCATTGTTCCTGGTAAGTAAGCCATTATCTCAGAGACAGCATCCCAGATTTTTCTGGCTTTGGAAATTTAGACAATTCACTTAAGAATCTGAGTTTGAAGAGCTGTATATAAGTCTGGCCTGGTTACCAGGCTTGTAGCATTTACTCCTCTGGAACAATAACATACCATAAACTGTGTGTTCTGCCAGTAGCTTGGTGAAGGAAAGCAGCAACAAACTTGAAGTGCTACAGTCTCAGCTAAAACTCATGTTGAAGACTCCTGGACATAGGCTTATTTCTGTGCTATGGGAGAAGATAAACTCTCCCTCTCTGGTTGCTGTGGGGGAAGGTACAGGTACATATATTTCTTCACATCTGTTTTATCAGCTTTCAGATATGTTCCTTACTCCTTGCAGGGAAGAGGAGCTGTGCCTTCCCCAGGGTCCCTCTACATAGGGTTGTGTATGCTTGGAAACCCATTTTCCTGGTCCTTTCCTTTTGGGCTCCTTTGCTCAGAAAGACCAGACGAGGAAAGAATCTTCTGTTCCAATCCTTGTGTCAAGCTACTGCAAAATTATTATTATATTAAACCATCATAAATAGAATTTACCTTATAGGCACTTGTCAGTAGGCAAAGGCAGGTTTATTTACTCATATACTATTTCATTTGTGCAGTTTAGTAATCTGTTGACATTAATAGACTACTCTTTATTTTTTCCTCCTACCATTATAAAATTATTAATTTCTCAGTCTGCTGCACATTTTGACAGTGTCTTTCTTATGTCCCTTTTGTTAAACTGCAACCACCTTTTTCTGGCTATCTGCTGAGATAAGACTTTCAAAGTTGTAGGCTAGATTCTCAGACAAATAATCTCCTTTCATATATTTGTTTACCCAATTAATAGCCTCAAAATATTGTTTCCTGGAATAGTAATTACATTTCTTTGCAGAGGTAAGTTCTTACTGAATTCCAAATTGTGCTATTATATGTTTGGACTGGATGATCTTAAAGGTCCTTTCCAACCTCAGTGATTCTATGACTGTCATCTGCACCAAGCACTAAGCCATCAATTCTATAAATTAAAACTTTTGTTCTTAGTGAAATAAAATTGTGCTTTTGGTTCTATCAAAGACACAGCCTAGAAACTGTGTTCTGGTGGCACAATTTGTTTGTAGTTGCTGGTTTGCTGTAAGGTCACTGTAGATACAATAACAGTGGGCACACATTTTCATTAATTAAAGCTTCTCACAAACACAGATGGCAGGTTTTGGCAGTATGGATTATGAAATTAAGCAATTCAACAGAAAAGAACTTTCCTCAAAGGAAAGAACGCATGTCTCCTGTTGTGTCAGGTTATGAAAAAATTGTTCAATTTAAACTGATAAATTAAAACCCCGTGAATATAAATTATTGAACTTTATTTTGAAAATCCATTAATGTTAACAATGACCAATTCATCATCCTTTTTCTTATTCAATAGAATGAGTATAGCAAATATTTCTGTACCATAGTGAAGTACAAAAACTGGGAGAAATTTTGTTTGGAAGTCAAGCTGCTTGTCAGAGTGGGTGAGAAAAAAATACTGCAAAGAAAACCAGACCAAGACTTTCATATTTTCCAACAAGCTTATCAGGAGCTAAAACTTCTCTGGCTCAAACTCTAGGAAGCTTGTGTTAAAGATCAGCCTTTATTGTCATTGTCCTCTTTTGCAGCTGATAAATGCAACGGTACGATTTTATTTTTGTCCTTTTACTGTCAAGAAATAAAAATGCACTTTCAGAAAACATTGGATAATGGCTGATGAGTGCATGATGCTATTTTTTTTTTTTTATGGTGAACTTTAGAGAAACTGTCCTCTACACAATTTCTTCTATGTTGATGTTCCCAAGTATAATGAATGAATGAATTCCAGGCAAATGCCTGGAATTCACTCTTAGTATGCAGCATTAACTGGTAAAATAATCTTAGTCTCTAGGGTGCAGAAATGTTTATCATGCTCATTATACTGAAGGAGAAAAAAATTATAAACTGGTCATTACCATTAATAGATTTTAAAACTCAGGCTCATTTGATATTCAGGGTTTGAAGCAGCAAACTAAATTACTGTATTTAAATCTCAAAATCTCAGGTAAAGAGGAAAAGCAAACAAGGGAGGCAAGGCATGTGGGAATATGGCAAAAGTTACACAATTTTAAAATAAAGTCCTAATTTTTTTTTTACAATAGCAGATTATGATTCCAACTTTATTATAATCCCTTTTTTAAGGTAGCATAGTTGAATAACTTATTCATGTTATAGGGAATAGAGGAAAAAATGCTGCTTATCAAAGAAAAGTTGTCCTATGTATTTGAGTTTGTTTGCCTCTGGTAAACGACCTCTTTTGGCACATCTGCTCATCTTTGTTGATGAGATGCAAGACTTCTCACAGGGAAAACTTGATTCTTAAACACAACTGCTTAATGTGTTTATGTGTAACTGTTCAGTATCTCACGGAACAGATCCCACCATCTTGCTGCTGAAGTTAGTGACACATACATCTGTCTGGTATCAGAGATTTGCATATCTCAGGGTTGTGCGTGGTGAAGGAGCAAATGGCAATGGTATTACTTGCTGAGCAGAATGACAAAGTACTATGACTTGGGTTTCTTTGGTCATTAAGACGTAAGTTTTTGAGTGAAGGAGAATAGAAGAGACATATAGACAGCCAGACACACAAATGTGTTAATCAACTTCTCATTATCCTTAGAATTCCTGTGGCACACTTAACACTGTTCTCAGGTGGTAAAATTTTCAGTGCTTAAAAAAATTACATGAAGTTTGCTGGGACTATCTACATTGTGATCTAGCATACAATTTCCTGTTCAAGTTTTATACTGCATGCATTTCTGATAAACTACCTAGGAATTCTTTTTTTACTAAATTTTACTAGCTAAGACTAATGCAGTGTTATGGTGACACATGAGTCACATGTTCAGATAAGACTGCATGTGTCTCTAGATGTACAGAAATGTTACTTGAAAGGAACTATTTGATTGGCATGAAAATACACCTAACAATCCATCCTTTTAGAAATTTGGCAAAAATACAGGGAGGGAAATGGAACTAGGAGGATGCTCAACTGCTTTGCACTCAAGAAGTGGATTTGTGGTTGCCCTTTGTAGGGCCCCTGAGGCTCCCCTGATAGGGGAAAAACTCTTTTTAACAGTTCTCAGGATTGAGAGACTCATGGAACTTTTTCAGTCTTCAGATTGCTATTTATTTTTATTTTATCAAAAGTTCCACATGTCCTCTACACTGGACTTAGTATGCAAGAAAGTACAGCAAAAATGGTCACAAGATGTACAGTTTCAAGGTCTTTTAAAGCTGTTTTATCCAATTAACTCTTAAAACGTACTTTATTTCTACCTTTCTGCCAATAACTCATCCCTCGTCTGTCCACGTGACCTCTGCACTGCGGCTTCCCCCAGCCAGTCACCCTGTGCCAGCAACACTGCAGAAAATGGAGTAGATGAAGAAGAAGAAGAAGAAGAAGAAGAAGAAGAAGAAGAAGAAGAAGAAGAAGAAGAAGAAGAAGACAATGCCCAAGATACTCCATCCTGACTCCTATCTACCTCCATACTAAAATCCCAAAACCAAAATTTCTAACCCTGTGACAAACCACACTATCCCTGCACTTGTAGACTCCAATCCATCCCAAAGTCTTGGAAGCCTTCTCCATGGGTGAAAGTTAAAAGCAGTGCTTCCCTGGGGGTCAGGACCCCTTGGGGCAAGCAGAGAAATATTCCCTGTGCCCTGGGTTCAACATGGATTGAAGCATGAATTCAAGTGCCTGAACCACATGATCATTTCTGCTTTTGTTGTTCATATATCACCTAGAGTCACCAGTACCATAGAAACATATCATGACTGGGTCAGAGAAATTAAAGTATTATTAATGAAAAATAAATTGTTAATAATTTTAAAATATCTAAAACTTGTAATAGTAGGGATTTGTAACAGTAGTAATTGTAACCTGAATTCCAATGTGCCTAAGAAGGGATTAAGGACTTCACTGTTTTCTTGGCTACCCGCAGCACTAAGTAATTTAATAAATGCAGTGCTAAAAGAATTAGGGAAATATGTAAGCTACCCACGTCTACATTTTATTCATGTATCTTGGGTTGAAAATGGAAAATGTAGCCAGGGTGTGTATTCTATTGCCATCTGTTAAAGGTGGAGCAGTTATCTTATGTTAACTGGGCCACCTGTTAAAACCAGGTGGGGCAGTTTTCTTTATCTCTTCCAAAACCAATCCTCCCTCTGGAAAATATCTTCTGTTAATGGACCATTGAGTCTTATTGCTTGACTGATAAAATTACATCATCCCATTGTGAAATGCTCTGCCTAGGGGAGGAGCCAAGCATTCTTGGATATAATCTGAGATTTGAAACACCAGTCAGCCTTTGCCACTGGATTCTCAGAGGCAGATTAGGCCCATCTACACCACCACTGGATCTTCAGAGGAAAACCACACCCTTCTACAGGATCACTGCTTTCAACAGAAGCACAACTATCACTCCAGGAGGACTGCAGCTACCATTTAATCAGACTACTACCACCACCCTGACCGACAGGGTGTCAGATCATATTCTGACTCTGTCAGTGTTGTTTTGTTTTACTGCATTTTTTTTTACTTTTATTTTTTCCTTAATAAAAACCTTTTATTCCTGCTCCCATATCATTGCTTAAGAGCCCCTTAATTTCAAAATTATAATAATTCAGAGGGAGAAGGTTTACATTCTTTATTTCAAGGGAGGCTCCTGCCTTTCTCAGAAGACACTTGTCTTTTCAAACCAAGATATCATGCAATTTAGATTTTCCTTCATCTCATGACCTTATGTCCACAGAGCTCTTCAGTCTGCACTTCCTGACATTCAGAGCAGACCCATATTAATTTCTGTCAAATTGTATACTGAAGTAGAAAATATTTGGGTCTTTATTTTTTCCCTTTTTTTTTTTTAATATAAAAAAAATTGGGGAAAGCATCTAGATCTCTTTTATTATCAACAAGAAAAAGCTGGCCAAGAACTGAGGAGAGGGAATTCACAGCAACACACTGATGTTGTAAGTAAGGGAAGTTTAAGGTTACTGGTATTGCTGTTATAATTATTTTCTTCTTTGAGAGAATCTTCTTTGAAGGTGAACTTTATTTTTAAGTTTTATTGAAATCTGCTAGGAATTTGACTTCAATATCACACTACTCTTATATTAAATAAGTCTTGAGGAGTTTATGTTATGATTTGCCAGAGTTTCTTTCCAATGTTTAAATAGGTACCTTTTATTGCATGCTATATTGAGGATCTTGGGTCAGGGATTAATGTATAACACAGATTTCCCTTTCTAGTATTTGCCTATCCTTCTTTCAATGTATAATTTTTTTACTGTGATTTACAGTGTGGTCATCTGTATTCACTGAAGCAGGAACTCCACATAAATCCTCCTCATGCCTGTTTGACTCTCCTTGTGTTTCTGCTCAGGTTTCATTGATTTCATTGTGGAACCCACTTTTACTGTGCTGACCGACATGACAGAGAAAATTGTGACTCCACTAATTGATGAAGCTTCCCTTTCTGGCATGTCTGGATTTAGGCGTTCCAGGTGAAAAACCTTGCACCCTGTCCCTTCATTCTATAAGTTGCCATTGCAATCAACTGCTCTGATTTCCCCTCTCTTCAGTGTATGTCTTTCTTGTGGCTGAAAGACCCATATCTGCATTGTCAACACTGTAGCTCAACTCTTGAGGTGACTTTGTGCAGGGAAAGTCCAGCCTGGAGGAGGTCCAAGAGGGAGGAGGGTGGCATCAGCCTGAGTCATACCTTCTAAGGCAAGGAGCACAAATTGTTGTAGCCATGCAATCAGATACACTCTCAGTGCTCTCTTAGTCATTAATGTCAGAGAGAATGTAATGGGAATAATTGGGAGTCACTTTTTTCTCCATGCCTAGAAGTATGAATGGGATTGAAACACAAATGATGGCTGGAAAGAATAAGCACACTTTTATGACAGTATTTAGGATCATGCAAATGTGCAAAGAATCACCACAATTCACCTGGAGTCTAGGTGTAGGAAGTCTTGGACCATTCAAACTGTACTGCTGTTTTAGAGATAATGCTCTTTTACTAGTTTAATTGACAAGGCATATCTTGGAATTCAAATGCCACATGGCTAGTGCTCCCTAGAGTAGGGCTATCAAGTCAGGATTCGCTCTTCTAGGTGATTTTTTTGCTCTTGGGCAAACAAAAAACAAATACTAATATCTTTCTATGTCAGTAATCTTGCTGCCTTTGTCAAAATGTTCACAAGCAAGTATCAAAAGTCAGCTGTAGGATTTGTAACAGAAATCAATGCCTGAGCCTCAGCTGAAGTCACCAAGCCCTTGACAGAGATTGACCTGTGCCTAATACCTGCCATTGGTGAAATTTAGGAGACTTCTGTGTCATTTTTGATTTCTAGAATTGTCTGACTCTCCAGTAATATTAAGGGAGTGGAGATACACAAAAAAGTAGTTAAAGAACTTAGTGAGAATGAATGGCAAAAAATAAGATGGGGAAAAGCAGCCAATTTCTAATTTCTAATACTTTCTATATATTTTATACACACACACACACACACACACACACACACACACATACATATATATATATATATATATATATATATATATAATTTCTAATACTGGCTCAGGTTGTACTCTTTGCTTTAACATTGGTTGGATTGGGGTGGGAGAGATGGGAAGGATAAGGGATTGAAACTTAGTTTTTCCAAGCTCTGTTACCTGACATTCAACTATTATTTTTTCTTAGCTGTATTTGAGTGGGATGCTGATTTCTTCTGTGTTTTGTGATATTGTGTCCTAGTTTGAATAGCATTAGTCCCTCTGAAGTAAAAAGATCAAGTGTGAAGAGCACTGGGTCTGAAGGAAGTGCCTCACTCAACTGCTCCATACTCACTGTGGACTTCAAATGTTTTAAAGCCACCTGGACTGAGGTGGTGCAGCAAAACAGAGAGAAATGGAAAGCACAAGCCACCAAAGGTAACAGCCAGGCTTTTTAGTGAAAAAATAAAATTCTGTTGTCCTTCTTCAAAACTCATCTTCAGTCTAACCATTCTCAAACTGTTAGTTTGAAAGAATCCACCTATTGAGTTCAACAACCCACTCTGAATTCAGAAAGACAGGAACATTGTGACTCATCTAAGCCTTATATTCTTCTTATGCTGTGTAAGTGTACATAACAAAGAGAATGTGAATGATGGGTAGAGAAGAAATTTAAAGGGGATTCCCCTAAACCACAGATCAGACTCAGTGGGTACAAAAATATTTGGAATGCTATTTATCAATATAGATTTATCAATTGTTCATTGTTCAGGTTGAAATGGGGTGGTACTTTTGGAGATGGATAGTAGTTGGCAAACAGTTCAGAAAAGAAGGACAGAATATTCTCTATTCACAGCTGGTTTCATATTTCTGATCATAACTTGGAAAATTAATTAGGAATTAAGCTGAAAATGTGTGTGATGTCATCAGGAAGGACTGCTAACATTTCAGAAGAATATGAGGGCTGTGTTGGTTGAAGGTTGACCAGGGTTCAATAGTGTCATGAAACTGAAAAAAATCCCAACTAACATCCCACCACCACTGACAAAACCCAACAAAGCAAAGCAAAACAAAACAAAGCAAAGCAACACTCCCCCCATATACACACTAAAAAACCCCTTAAAAGACTTTGCTTCTAAGACCCCTCTGGCATTCTTCTCATCTTTTCAGCAGTAACAAGGCCCTCAGTGTTATTCTGTGCCTAGTTTTGGCCACTGTAGTTGATAAAACATACGAACCAGTTGTAGAAAATGCAGAGTACAGCAATGAAAATTATGATAATTTGTTTATACCTGAGAAAGTGTATAGCTGAAAGCAGTTTTTTGAAGACTACTGCAGCTGAAAAATAAGGAAACTGGTTTTTATTCAAATATCTTGGACCATTAAGAGGAGAAAGGTTATTATAGATATTAATATAATGTCTAATAAGTTAGACATTAGCAAATCTCTATTATTGGAGTTCTTTTGGAAATACTGAAAGCCATCTTTTGCAAATTATTTAGGTATAATTTTCCCTCACCTCAATTAGGTATAATTTTCCCTCACCTCAATTAGGTGTAATTTTCCCTATGGATGATTGCGCAAGGTATCCTAGAGCCTTTAGGCAATTTAGACCAGATTTGGAGGGAAAAAAAGGAGGAATATGTCAATGTTTTTCTTTTCTCCATGAAACTGTGATACAATTTATTCTCTGATCTGAATGGTTGTTGGTCAATCCCTTATGGAGTTGTTTTATTTCATATAAGTGGAAGGAGTTTGATTTTAATATAATGTGTGACTGTGACTTTAGGGATTTGGCATAGTTCTCCAAAGTGCCAGAGCAAATTTTTCCTCACCAACTGAAAGACCTGCCTAAAGATCCAGGAAATAATGTATTATTCAAAACAAGTTTTCGTTTGTGATTAAAACTTGCCATTAAGTAAAAACACTTTATAGGCATTCCATGAAGATGAAAACAAAAGCATAATTCAAAATCTATTTCCCAGGGATTTTTTTATTTTTTTTTTTTTGGTTGGTTGGTTGGTTTTGGTGCTTTTCGTTGTGGTGGGTTTGTTTGTTTGTTTGTTTGTTGGGGTTTTTTTGGTGGGTTTTTTGTTTGTTTGTTTGTTGTTTGGGATTTTTTATGTGTGTGTGCATGTGTGTGTTTTGGGGCTTTTTTTTGCTTGCTTTTGTTGTGGGTTTTTCATTTGGTTGGTTTTGTTTGTTTTGTTTTGGGGTTTTTGTTATATTTAATATCTATCAGTTCCCTATGGACCAAATTAAAGCTAACCAAAAAAGCAAAGCATGTAACATGCTGAGTGTCTTGGGATGTAGGAGTGTTAAGTGGATAAAGTTACAATACAGGTAACCCATTTTAAAAATGTAATTCAGCATGTACCATATATATTTTCTTGACTAAGCATAAACTGCATAAAAATCCTAAGTGCAAGACAGACCTATACAGGACTTTTACATAATTTCTGTGTTTCTAGGTACATATAGAAGTACAAGCACGCATATTTTTTTAATCCTGTAATAGTTATACAAACATACAGCCCAGCATACCTTTGTATGGGCTAAGGACTAAGGAACTGGTTTTGGATTCCAGACTACTTGCATCAGAATCTTTTCTCAGCTGCTATTTTCTCTCGACTTGCAGCAAGTTTCTGCATCACCATCCTTGCCTGTCTTGTAGCAAGGCCTACTATACAGCAGGGGCATAAACTGCTGACCCTTGACAAACTGGTGTCTTGCAGTCAAGATGCATTGCCAATAAAAACAATTATTATTAAGAGAATACAGAAACATTTACTGTTTGTTGACAGCAAATAGAAATTTGGGATCAGAAAGGAAGGAACCTATTAGTGCTATTTTTGTTGCTAATACTATAATAAATTATTCGTAAAATACTGTATTCCCTTTGGGAATTGCATTGTCCCTAGAAGCCTCAGTGAGCTGTTTTTACCCTGAATATGACATTTATAAAAAATTTCTCATACTGTGTGAGAAAAGTGAGATCATTACTGATTGGATTTTTTTTTTTTTTTTGCCTAAATGGTCATAATTAAAGAGCAACAAACAAAAAGAACTGATAAAACAAACAGTCTAATGTACAAAGCACCATTTAGATAAAGTATTTTCTGACACTACTTTTGACAAGAGATACTTATCCAATGGTGTTGTAGCAAGCCCAATTCTCCTGAGACAAAGTTCTTTCCTGTGGTTCAGGTGCAGAATAAAGCTTTTTTTTTCAGATGCCCAAACGGAGGAATTCCATATGCTATGGAGACCCTGAAATTAGCTCAGTTGTTTAGAGCATGGGCTTGACCTCTGTATGGCTCATTCACTTAAGAATTGCATTCTATGGATCCGTTCCAACCCAGAATATTTTGTGAAATCTGTGAGACATCCCTACAGCCTTCAGTAGCTAGTATCTCTTTTTGCCATTCAAGAATTTCGAGTTTACCTTTTCAAGGTGAACTTTAAATGGTAAGAAAATGACATACACATAAAATACCTTTAGTACAACCACTGGTTGTTTTCAGAATATTTTGTTAAATGTCCTCTCATGTTCTTTTTCCGTTGTCAGTTCCTATATATAAGTAAATTTTTTTTGCATGTGAAAAGCTGAAGTAGATTTAAATACATGAGTCGTTCTTGTCAAATTGACTGATAGTTGTGATATCTTTCCTTGCTTGGCTTCTCTCTTTGCTGAGGATGCAGAAGAAAAGGCCAAGAAAGAAGCAGAGGGAAATGCTTATCAGGGAACAGATGAAAAGGAAAGAGATGAACAGGATGGGAAGCCAGGTGAAGATGTCACAGAAAGAAAGACAGAAAAAAGCAAAGAACCAAATCCTGGGGAAAGCAAAAGGACAGATTCCAGTAAGAATCTTGGAAATGGCACTTGGCAAAGAGGTATGAGCAAACATGAAGCCTATCAAGGGGAAAATGCAACTAGGACAAATAAGAAAATGGATCACCATCATACTCTGGGAGAAGAGAAACAGCATGTCCAGAATGGTGAGTTATTGTCTTCTACTGAAACATAAATCCACCCCTAAGGCCAGTAACTCACCTTAGTGATGGGGGAGCCTCATGTCCTGAAAAAGCATTCCTGGACCCAGAGTCTCTTCCTGAACATAACATAGACATATGTTATTCCTACATACGGGAATCAGAAATTGAATTAAATTCCAAGTAGTGTTTTTCTGTAGAAGGGGTTCACTATTCCTGCTTGGAAACAAGGAAAAATTAGTTTTTTCATGGAACTGAAATAGCCTCTTATGATACAGAGGATGGAAAGCTGAAACCAAAAACCTGCTTCAATGAATATTGTCATTGCTTGAGTAACTGACAGGAAAAGACAAAGTTGACTTCTAAACTCATTTTAAAGCAAATTAAATGCATCTTTGATTTGAGCCTCAGATCAAAATATGTTTTGGAACAGAGAATTTTTCTCCACTCTTTTTTTAGGATTTATTTTATTTATCCTTCCTTTGTTCAGTATAAGGACAATCACTAGCCTTTATTTTTTGAGGATTTTTTTTACAGAAACTTTATTTCACTTTTTTAACTTGCTGTGGGACTGAGTTAAAATAAGAATCCCATTCTGCACTCAAAAAAAAAGTGGAAAAAATGTTTGAAAATTCCATTAAACATTAAAAAAACTTATTAAACCAAACAGAAGAGATCACTTGTCTCTTGGCCATTACACTGTTCTTTCCTGCACAGCTCCTGCTCCCTGGAGACAATATCAAAAAATGGCACTACAGCCACATGTGTCTTGTCACAAACTTGGCTAGTATCATGCAGTCCAAAAGTAGTGAAAAAACCACTTAGAAGCCTGCTCTTAGAAAAATACTGAATGGGCATTTTGGCTTTGAAAGTTCAGGTTCAAGCAGTGAGTTTACATGGCAGGAGATGCAGAAATTTTGTTTAAAACATTCCTGATATCATTCTTAGGGTTGCTGGTCTTTCCCAGTAATTCCTTTGTAATCAGGTTTTTTTTAAGAATGGAAGGGTTGTGGGAATCAAAGCTGTCATTCTCTCTCATGTATGGGATTTTTCTTCAGACAGTGTTACATGTGTGAACACGAATGGACCCCTCAGGAAGACAAAAAGGTCAGGGACATATGAAATGCAAATTAGACTGCACCAGACTTTTCTTCTGCATACACTTGTTTTGCATGCTTCTAAGAATATGGGAACTAAGTGTGCTCTAGTGATTTTTCTAGTACTTTTATTGGCAGTGTGTCTCTGCTGCAGGTGTCAAAAGTGTTCTGAAAGGAATTATAATGATTCCTGAAAATTAGTGTCTTCCTCAGGAAAAGAAATTCTGCTCCTTTATTTATGGGATAAGGCCTTTATGAGGAACAATCACTGCAGTGTCTCTGGGGACTGATGAAATCTTAACATTCATATCTCTAGATTTACCAAAGCTTCCTTTATGCCTATATGTTGAAATCTCATCTAATATATTTGTTTTATTATTTCTCTGCCTCTGTAATCCCTTTCAAAAATATTACAATCATTATTCTGCTCTGCTGCTGGCAGTATGACAGCATAGATATTATATTACTTAAAAGTCCCCTTTTCATAATATTCACTGAAAGTTCAGAAATTGTGTTATCGGGTGAGTTTAAAGTCTCTCTGTCATACACTACCCTGTGCTTTTTCTGAGAGATCAAACTCTGGAACAGTGCATGTGTAGATGTTCAGCATTTTTTCCTGCACACACTTACCTTTGTTTTTAAGACCACCTTAATCAAACAGACACCTAAACCCTGCTGGATCTGCTCATAACCTCTCTGTACAAAGACCCCAAGTCAGTGGCAGTGTGATCGGCTGAGGAGGGTGCTGTTTGTCCTGTATCATCTTGCATTCATTTTTTTTTTAATCCACAGAGTGAGCTTAGGAAGATAAACATGAAAAATTTCAAATAAAAACTGAACAGAACATGCTTTGGTTCCATCTTGTTAAATATTTTAGGGTTTGAAAACCATTCCTCTTTTATATTATGATGAAACCTAATTAGATAGAGAGATTGATCCACTACTGTCCAAGAATAATGAATATGCTAATGACTAAGGCACATTGTGGAAGAGGGAGACCCTATTTCTCTACAATTTTTCTTTTTTGAGCTGTTCCAAAAATAAATATCCACTGCCCCCATGAGTATTTGGAAGGCAGATCATATCCTTTTTAACGCTTAATACCTTTAATCTTGAACCAAAGGCTGGGAAGTAGTTATAGTACCAAAATTAGAAATACAAAGAGAATAAGCATCACTGGAATACAGACTCACATTTACAAAATTCTGAAGTCAGACTTTTACAGCTTTTTGTGTTGAGGTGCACATCATAAAAGGAAAAGGATCTTTCTTTCTGTTTGGATACTGCAGCTGAAATAGATCTGTTCTGCTACAATTTTCCATTTAAGTTTTTATTTGATCTAGCATTCAGCATTCTCATTCAGTGAAGGGATGGTCTGGTAAGGTCTGATGTGCTTTGCTGTATGGCTAATAGAGGACTGAAAAAACACTCTTGGTTGACATTCCTGGGTTCATAAAATATACCCTATCTTAAGTTGCTATTTTCATTTTGCATGAACCATTGCTCTGCCAAAGGCCTGGATTTTTTTGTTTGCTACATAGACTCTAAAGGCAATGATCAATCCTAGGATGACTGTTCCTTGATACCAACACAAACAAATCTGTTAAAGGAATCTGGTAAGAGAAAACAAGGCAAAATTACATAGGCATGTTTAGGGTATCAAGGACGGTTCTTTAAAACAGACATTTATGATGAAGCCTTGCAGGATCTTAATTCTTTGGAAAGCATTAATGTTTCAGACTCTGACATGAATCTTATGATCAAGTTTTTAATGGTCAACATACAATCAGAGGTATTGTGAGTTTGATATAACTTTAAAACATTTTGATAATTAGAATAAATTCATAACTAGATTTTAAAACTTGCTTATCTGTAGGAGTTGGAATTTTTTTTCTGGTGCTTTGTTCTGTGGAAATGTGTTCATTAAGTTCTTTTTTAACTCAGACTTTTCCTCCTAAAGAACAACATCTCTTTTGGGTGTTGCAATTTCATTGAGTTACAAGTGTTAAAATGCACTCTGCATGCATTAAAATGCTTATAGTGTTTATTATTGTTTCTCATTGCTTCTTTCTAGGTGAATTAAAGGAAGACAACAAACTGGACAGAAAAGAAGTGTAGTGTGGGAGAGGAATCAAAGAAAACAGATGGTAAGGACAACATTTTATTGCATTTTTGACACACATTTTTATATGCAATCTATTGTTTCCTAAACATCTCCAGGTAATTCTAAAACAAAAAAAATGTATGGTAACCAGGAACAAACTTAACAGAAACAGTCATTAGATTTGACAAAAGCCATTGAAGCATTCTGAGGGAAAATCATTCCTTTCATATAATGCCCAGTACCACTTAGTTCCACTGGTAAGCCTTATCCATCAAATTTTGTGCTGAGCTTGAAACAAAAATCCTGGATTATTGGAATTGCTTAATAGGAAATGCAGATTTGTGAGATTCTATCCTTCTGACTTTCTTCTGGCTGTATTCTTCGGTCTGTAAGAACAGGACACATTGGACATGAAGAAAACAGACTGAAAAAGAATGCTGCACAAGAGGTTCTATTAAGGATGCTGAAACATTTTTAAACTGTAGCAATCCCAAGCCGTAGGGTGGTTTCATGGGCATCTGGGAATAATTTCAAGTGAGTCTGAGCCTAGTGTAGAGGTCCACAGACATTTTAGCAGCCTCAGCAGTTTGGAAAACATCTCTAAGTTCTGCAGTGTGTTTTACACTTTTGCACTTCCTCACCTGTGTACCACAGGCCTATGAGATGGTATCTGAACCCACATTACTTCATAGACAATTGCTGAATTACTAGGTAGCAAAATAAATGCAAACATATTTTCTGTCATCTTCTTTGTGCATCAGTGAAATTCGCTGAAATGTAACTATTCCTAAATATAAATAATACAGTGTTTGTTTTGATGGTCAAAACCATCAAATTTATTTAAATTCCTACTGCTCTAGCAAAGTGGTAAGCATGAAGAAAATATAATACCTCAACTAAACACCTAGAAAATTTCATCTAGGAGCATGTATGAATTTCAGACACATATTTACATACTTTTTCTTTAGAGGCCCCTTAGTAATAATTGTTTAGAAAAAGTCAGTTCTTTTAAGAGGTCATGTTACCTATATACTTGAGTCAAATATCTGTCAGGAAAAACTGCCTTAAACAAGTACCAATCACAGCTCTTACTGCAGAAACTAAACCTAAATACTGAAATAACTTGTGACTCTTCAGACTTTCACGAGTATGTGCAGTTCCATAGGCAATTATCAAGACTCCAGAAAGATGAAGGGGCAGAATGACTGCTCTCCCAACTCTGACGGGTGGTGGCTGAGCAACAGTTGTGCTGGAAGGCTGCTTCCTTGCAGGGCCAAGTGAACGCAGAAACACTAGGACTTTTTTAGGAGGTACTCAAGAGCATCAGCTCATCCAAGAGAGTAGACCCATGACTCTCTAACATTTGAAGGCCTTCACTCTCAAGGTCTTAGAAAGATTAAGGCCATATATTTATTTGGTCTTGAGGACCAAGAAATGAATGTTCATAGTAACTTGAAGATTGAAGACTGAGGATGTGAATTTGATTCTTTGCAAGTTGTTTATCTTTGGAGTTATTCATATTTGCTGTCTATTGGCCTGTAGAAGATAGCTATATCTTGGATTTCAGACTTAACTGCTTCAAAATCCTGTGCAAGTCTCTTGAATATAGACTAGTCTTCTTCTAATGTTAATCTGATTTTCATATTATTGTTGTTGTTTGGTTTTTGCTTTTTTTGTTTCTGTGGGAGATACTGCTTGTTACTCACTACTGCCCTTTTTCTCAGTTTCAAGAAAATAAATATGGCGATGCCATTTCACAAATAAAGATACCTGTCAAAGACATCATCAGCACAAGTGTTTCCTGTGGGATCGAACATTGTTAAACCATTTTGGAAAACTGAATTTTCTCATGTGAATTCATTGCTTGGCAAGTCTTTGAACTGAAAATTATAAGCAGCCCATGGACATAATTTTTCTTTACATTCCAACCTTTCTTTTTTTTAAATAGTATTTTTTTATAATAAAACTAACAGCAAATGAAAATATTATTCTTCCCCATTACAGACTTGATATAAGGAAGAAATTTTTTGCAGTAATGGTGGCAAACCACTGGAACATTATGTCCATTGAGGTGGTAGAATCCTCTTTCCTGGAAACATTCAAGGTCAGGTTGAACAGGGCTCTGAGAAACCTGATCTAGTTGTAGATGTCCCTGCTTATCATTCTGGCATTGGGCTATATGGCCTTTAAAGGTCCCTTTTCAACCCAAACTATTCTGATTGTATGATCTTATGACTAATACTTTCACAGATTACTTTTACTACATCCTCATGGTTTTTTTTCTTACTGGGAAAAGATCCTGCAATGTTAATGCAAAGTGTTCAGTGTAACTTCTTGTTTTGGTGAAAACACAGTCGATTCAATCAAATATTACTCTCTCAGCTACCACGTGTAGATAAATAAAAAGTTCCCTTTTTGTGTGTTTGCCCTAGGACCTTACTACTCTAGTGGCAATGTGCATGTTTTAGCATACAGGATATTTCTGTTTTTAACAGCTAGTGCATACAGTGAAAGCCTAATGTGCTCTATCTAATGAGCAGTACTGCTACCTCATGGTCAATTCAAAACATGTGTTTTGACAGATCTGCTTCATTACTGAATTCTTCTATGCAGTGCAACACACCAGAATAGACTATAGTCACTATAATGTAATGTAATATAATACTTTGTGTAGACTTTTTAATATATGGACTATATTTCAGAGATGGAGGTTTTAGCTTTATTTTGATATTTTTAAGATAAAATGTTGCTTATCAGGAGTTAAAAGCTTTTCTTTTGAGTTCTATACATTGTCCATGCCAACACGTAGAGCTACCTTTCAGTCTTAATTTTTCTTGATAATGATTTCTTGATCAGGAAGTGAAAATTTCCCTGATTATTAATTTAAAATCTTAATTTTTTTCTGTTCTACTTGTCCCAAAAATCAAGTGGCAAAGTAGCTGGAACAGAATGTTATCTGACAATGCCTTTGGTATAGGAGCATGGTGGTGAGAAGACACCATGATAAGGGCTCTACAATTTTTCAGAGAGAGTTGAATTAACAGGAATCTTCCCAGCTTAATTCGTCAAAACTTCTCAACCATTTAATATTGCCTGTCTTTGCAGTCTTCTGCAAGATACAATTTTTGTATCTGTCAATCTAGCCAAGACCACTCCATAGCAATGAATAAGTAGACTTCTGATGAAATCCTGCTTATGATGATGTTGTTTTAAAACAGGTTACTCAAACAAATAAATAAAGAGCATTTGTCTATGTCTCTTTGAGAGAGGTAAAAAGGGAAATTACAAGTCATGTAAATAATGCTGCCATTTCTAATTCTGCTTTGAAAGATAAACTGATCTTTCCATGATTGTCAGAAGCAAAAAATCCATTTTAGTTTGTAAGGCAAACACATTGTATTTGTCCTTGCTGCTTGATATGCTCTGCATGTTATGTGTCATAATCCAGCAGGACAGGCAAATTTGAATGACTGTAGTCTAAGTCTACTTTTTTATGGCCTGTTACTTGAATTACATTAATAGCTATGGCCTCAAATTACAAATCAGAAAGACTTGTTAGCTTCTGGAAGAACTTGTTTGAAACATGAAGGCATTTTGCCTTCCCAAAAGACATAGTTCACTGTAATCTATCTCTGCTGAACAATTGTTCCATAGTATTGCAGTATAGGATAACAAGGGGCTGGGGGTGGGGGGTGGAATAGCTTCTGTGCTTTTTAAAATCCTTTTTGTGCTTTTTTGAAATAAACCATTTTTCTAATTTAGCAAGTGGCACCTGAAGCAAGCTGGAATTTGCATATAAGAATGCATTCTGAAGAAGGTTTTATGCTGTTTTAATAGCAGATAAATATGATTTTTGATGCTAAGTGCAAAATACATTGTTAGTATCTAGACAGGGCAAACAGTACATCACCATGGCATGCATGGTGAGAATATAGGGAATATGTAGAAAGGTATCTTTTATAATTATGCAGATGGTCAGATGGTTTTGCAACATGTCAGTTTTGTGTGTATTTGTCTTGCAGAAAGCATCTGGTTTTCCTTTGAGATTTTCACATGTCTCTTGTTTAGCCTGCTTTTTATTATTCATAGGAGCCTAGATACACAGTCTTTAGGATGCTGGATTGCTTTTTGATTCTACTTTACATGACAAGCCGAAAAATTGGGAATTCCATTTGTCTTAATTTAGGTGAATATTTGGAATACTCAGGTTCATGGTGAAAAAAAAAAATCATCACTGAAGGCAACTTAACTAGGGTTTTTTGAGTAGTTGCCTGTATGGGGAACATTTTTCTGTGTTACGTCTGGTCCGTTAGATATATTTCTGCACAGCAATGGCATATGGTTGCATTGCTCCTCAGGGATAACATTCATGGTCCTAGAGACATGGTCCAATGTGTAACTTATACAGTGCATTGCAGAAACTGTTCCTTGATTTTGCACCATCAATTCATTTATTGCACCAGTCAGGGAATACAGCTGTGATGTTGCTTCTATTATAGTCCTTATCCCATTTAGGAAAATTTGCCTGTGCAATGATGCATATAAATTTTCCACTTCAGCAAAAGGAAAGTCCTCCTTTGCTCCCAGATGCAAGAATTATGTTCGCTACAGTGACAATCAGGCTTCTTTTTCCTGATGCAACACTTAGTCCTGAAAGAGAAAAAAAAATAATGTCTACTCATGAGGAGGAAGAATATGAAATGGCTCCTCGAAAGACATTGGTGACGTTTAGATTGCATCTTTAATAACTCACAGAACAGCTAACTTCCAATTTGAGCATACCAGCTACAGATAGAAGGACTCTTAAAAGGTGTGGCATCCCATCCCAAAAAAACAACATGCAAGTACCCAGATACTCATGACTGAAAAGTGTAATCTTTATTACTTATAATCATTAATTGATCACTAGGCTATTCATTATTTTCTCTCTTTCTAAACCACTCTTTTCCTTTTTTTAACTTCAAAACCTGATACTTACAAGCAATTACAAATGTAGAAGAAATTCAACAAGTCC